CTTGTATATATGGATAGCTAACAAATATTCATTATTAATATCTTGACTTTTTTCAGAATAGAATCATGTATAAGCATCTTCATGCAATATTTTTCTATATTAATGAGCTTTGTAAATAAGAATAATATATATATTTATCTTAAATAGTTTTTACAATTCAACAAGAAGTATGAAATATTTATTGTAACTTATATATTAACTAATCAATAATATCAGCAAGTTCAAAAAGTATTATAATAAATAATAATAACAATAATAATTATAATAATAATAATAATAATGATAATAATGATAATAATAATTATGATGATAGTAATAATAATAATAATAATAATAATAATAATAATAATAATAATAAAGAAGATAATAAAAGCTTTACATTAATCTCATTCAAAGAAATTCTTGATTATATAGTACATACTCTAGATATATCTAATACTTTGATAGTAATATTATTATCTAATATATTTATACTAATATAATTCTTATCTAATTTAGTTAATATTATTAGTATAAATATTTATACTATTTGCAAATAAGAATTTGAAAACTTTTTATTATTTACTATAAAAAGTATGCAGATATTATAAAAGAACTTAGTAATTCTTTTAAACTTGCTTTAATCTAAACTATTATTAATACAAGAATAATCTAATACTATTGATGCTAATAATTAATATACTCTGATAACTTATCTTTATGATATAATTACTTCAAATATCTTCAAGTAAAGTCAATATCTAATGAATGTTATGTATGAAAACTGAAGTTTCTAGAAGTATCCAGTTCTTGTTATCAATATTTTTTCACTAGAGCAAGAAATCAAATAATATTATTAATATCTGTCTTATACAAGTTTATAAAAAAGAAATATAAATTATAATCAAGTTGAAAGAAAATATAGAAATAAATAAAAATAAAATTTTATTATTGTACAAGCCAAATAAATTTAAAATACTTACAAAAAAATATTCTCCTTCACAGCTTACAGTACTTTGGTAAGAGATTTATTTAGTAAAAATACTCATAATTAAGAGTTGTAATTTCTTTTAAATCAGCAAATGCTAGGATTTTTTAAATTAAAACAAATTACAGTCCTAGATCATTAGTATTTTTGTATGCTGTAGCTTGCCAAGAACTAGCTTTAGTTAGAATCTAATGTATATGTAAAAATAAAGAGGAGACCAGTCTTTAATCTTTCTTTTTTTTCATTATATAATCATATTTTTAACTATTTTCTTTTATTATACAATCATATTTCTAACTGTTTTTCTTTATTATACAATTATATTCTTAATCTTTCTTTTATTATATCAATCTTTTTTTTATTATATGGTTATGTATCTAATTTTTTTCTTTCATTATATAATCATATATTTAACTTTTTTTTTATTACATAATTATATTTCTAATTATTTTCTTTCATTATATAATCATATTTCCAATTGCTTTTCTTCAATATATAATCATATTCCTAATCTTTCTTTTACTATACTAATTTTTCTTTTATTATATAATCATATATCTAATTTCTTTCTTTTATTATATAGTTATATATTTAACTTCTTTCTTTTATTATATAATCATATTTCTAATTGTTTTTTTTATATTTTTAATTATTTTCTTTTACTATATAGTCATATTTTCAACTGCTTTCTTTTGTTATATAATCATATTCTCATCTTTCTTTTATTATATAATCATATTTCTAACTTTTTTCATGATTATATACTAATTTTGTTTATTATATAATTATTTTCTTGTTATTAGTTTTTTTTTGAAGAAGTATTCAGCTTTGTATTAAAAAAATTTCTGTTATCAGTATCAATTATAAAATTTGAAATTTAAAATTTAAAGTTAAAAATATTTTAACAAAAAAAATAATTCATATATTATATATATATTATTAATTCACACTAATATTTCACAATATTACCTATTGCTAGTGGAGCACTATGAAATATTTATATTATATTATTTATCCAAATTAGGAATCAATTTATGACTTGTAACTTATATTAAAGATAAAACTCATATTAGAAAATTTGAAATTTAATTCAAGAAAAGTAATTATGTATAATATTTCAAACTGATAACAAAATATTAGTATAATTAAGTTGTAATTTTTTGCTTTAACTAGCCAACTCAGATTAATAATCATATGAATTTTCTTATTTAGATACTTTATTTATATTACAAAATTAATATATATTAATATTATATACATATATTATTATTATCTAACATATATATTAATATTAGCTTTTTACTTGTAATAATTTTAAAAATATATTAAAAGTTAAATTTTTCTTAAGAAAAAGAATATTATATATATTTATAAGATCAAGCCAATTTTTTTTATCTATTATTATATTATTAGCATTACTAAAAAGATACTTAACAGAAATTGAAGAAGTTAGAATTGCAAAATAAATTCTTGCTTATTCAGCTAGTAATGATAGTATTACTATATGATTATTCTATCACTTATATAGATTATTTATTATATATAATAGATGAGATACTTTATATTTTGATAATACTGACATATTCTAATAAATACAAAGTTCTGATTTAATAGGTATTTCAGTAGTAATTATTATAATATTGAAATCATTATAAGATAATAATATAAGAGATTAATTTTGCAAATAAGAAATCTGAGCTAAATTATTGAAAGATTCAAAAATAATTAGTATACTTTTTATAATATTTTTCTTTAGTTTTTTAATAATTTGTTAAATTTTTTCTTCTGATATAAATGCTAGATTTTTTAAATCTTGGATCCAAAAATAATATAATATAATCAAGAATATTTGAATTTTTTTATTTTCTTGTTAATGATTTGTGAATTTTTTCTAAAACTATATGAATATTCAAATAGATAAGTATTGAATTTATTATATTTAAATGATGAAAAAGTTTATGAAAAGTAAAAAATATTTGTAAGAATATTAGATACTAACTTCTATCTAAGAATATAGTTATGCTAGCAAATAATTTTGGTAAAATTACTAATTTATTTAAATATTTTTACTTATCATCTGATAATAATAAGTTTTTTAAAATATTAGCATCTGCTCATACTTGATAATTAAAATTATGTGAAAGTTATAATTGGTATTCATAAATTACTTGATGAAGTAATAAAAGTTATTTTAATAGAATTAATATTGAATTCCATTAGATTTTACTATTATTACTAATAGAATCAAGAGATTTATATTATGAGATTTGAAGATTTGTCTAATTTATAATATCTTTTTATACTTTTCTGAATTTATCATAATATTTATTGTGATTTACAAGAAAATTATTTAAGTTTTTTGCTTTTTTTACTAATTTATCATTTATTAATTTGAGTTCATCATTAATTATAAGCTGAAAAGTATGAGCTATATATTCTATATAATTATATTCAAGTTGTCATATTGCTCTTTTCATATTAAAAGTATTATCTGTTATACCAATAAAAACTTTTTGTGATATTTTCCATTGCTCAAATAAATTTTGAAAAACATCTTTAATACAATTACTTATATGAGAATATGGAAGATTTTTAATTGTCAAAAGTATTTGATATGATTTAAAATTTGCAAAGATCTAATATATTATTATTTTAATATATAAAGTATGATATGCTATCTAAGAATCAGTAGTAAAAGCAAATCTTATTATTATTTCATCCATTAATATATTTAATTATGTTTTAGTATAAGAAACTGATTGTCTAATCTTATTTTTTATTATGAAAATTCAAAACAAGACTCATATTCATGAATTAGCTCTTGAAACTTTTTATTTATAATTACGTAAAATGGTTTTATATTATTAATAATCCAAGTAATAAGTCAAAAACATATTTTTTCTTGTTTAAAATGTGATAAGAAATTTGTAGATTCAAATATTTATTTAATTATTTTTTATTTTGAATTATTTGAAATTACTGAATTAATAGAAGAATATATTTAATGCTTTATTCTTAGATATGTCATCAAATTTATTATTAAAGTTGTAAGATTATAAGAAATCAGACAAGAAATATTTTCTCAATTTTGTGGATTTTTGATAGTTAATTAATAAATAACTTTTTTTATAATTTTATTTTTCTTAAAATATGATTGTACTTAGCTTTCTTTATTTGTAGATGAATTAATTTTCTTTAAAGAGATATTTAATGAATTTGATACTTGATTATTAGAAGTTGAAGTATTTGATAAATCTGATACTTGATTATTAGAAATGAAAATGTGTGATGATATTAATGCTTCATTATTAAGAGTGGATGAGTGAGATAAATTTGGATAAGAATCTACAAGAATAAGTTCATTAATTGACTGTTATGTTTCATTAGTTGATTGTCATGTTCATTATGCTATTTCTTCATCATAATTAATAAAAGTGATTTTGGATTTTTGATTCATTAAAAAAATACAAAAAGAATATAAAAATGTGAAAAGAATATAAAACCACGAAAAGAATATAAAACACGAAAAAAAGATGAATATATAAAGGATTTTACATATATTACATGAACTAAACTATATATAACTATATAACATGTTAATTTGAACTGTAAATAGTATTCTATAATAATAGTAATGATTTTCTTAATTTAGAAATTTTTAGTGATCGACTTACGCCGCATCAAAGAAATTAGCTCGACTGAATCAGCTAGCCGGCTGTGCGCCGGCGCATCCTAGTCAGCTTGAAACACTAGTCATGTATGATTAATCGATTTTTTTAACTCGATCGACATAATATACTTAATTTTTACGTGTGACAAATCGTGTGACTGGTATATTTACTAATAAAAAGATTTTGAACAATGTATCATGTGTTATTTTTTCAAAAGTGATCGGCAAGTCTGATCGTGACATTTTGTCAATGCACAAAATTTTCGTAAACATGTCGACTTCTGCTCACGTAACCAACGGCAAGTTTACTTTCTTAGCTCTATTTGCAACTCTGATTTCTAAAGTTCCTTTTTATACTGTTAGATGATCCTGATTTCTTTACTTTGGGCCGCGAGTGGTCACTATTAAATTTTTTGTTATTTCGACAAAAGTGTTCTGATTTCCGCGCCGACAAGCATGAAGAACACAGCCGATATGCTCGTAGCCTTGCTAGTATTCTCAGTCACGAACAAACATCCCCGGAAATGAATAAACTGGCTAGCGACGCGCTTAATTTGTTACAAGTTAAGTATTACTTTTTGGTGTTTTGTTGGCAGTGGATGGGTCTCAAAGGGCAATAGCCTTTTGGATGGGGTTGCGATCTGCGTTCAACCACCCAACATCCTTGGTTGCGATCGGGGATGGTTAGTTGCGACTCGGGTGGTTCCATCCTGCCGAAATGTGTTCAACCACCCAATATTCCTGGTTGCGATCGGGAATACTTGAGTTACGACTCGGGTGGTTGTTCCTGACGAAACGTGTTCAACCACCCAACATTCCTGGTTGCGATCGGGAATGCCTGAGTTGCGACTCGGGTGGATGTTTACACATTTAATGGGTTTCGTTAATATCTATTACTTCTGATTTTAATTGGGCGCCTGTTAGCCGAGACTCGGATGATATCGTTTCTTACAATTTTTTATTAATAGAAGGAAAGAAAGTCAAACTCGATTGATAACTTCTGGAAGACAGCTACGTTAGCGCAAGAGAAGAAAGTGGCAAATGAAATTGAACGTTCAGTTTTGTTGGTATGAGATATTCTGGCAATATAACAAGGTACACAGAAAACGTAAATACTAACTTATCTATTATAACAGGATGAACTCGCTACATCCGCTGTACACTCAACCCTTCAACGTGATAGGCAAGAAAGTTTGGTTCGAGAGAAAGTTTCAAGACGTTTAGAGAGTATAGATGATGATCGCACGTACAAGCGTCACAGGTCACAGTCTCCGAACATTGAGGTAGTTATATTGTTGAATGGCCAACGTTTAATATGAAAATTACTTCTTACCTTTCCCATCTTCGACGTGTTTATCAGAATGATCAAAAAAAAAGTGACACAGAAGCGATTAATAACGAACGAAATTTAGATGAAAAACGAGTTGAGGTAGGTTTCTATAAATGATCAATTGTATGAAACATCTTTCTAACTCGTTTGTTATGACGTTAGGAAGAACTTGTGAAACGGTATAATTTGAGAGAACGACAAGAAATCAATTATGCCGAAATTTCAAGCTCAGACATAGATCCGCATCATGTAATTATTCTTGTTACTTTTTTTTGCGCAATAAAAAATATACAATTCTCATTCATTTTTATTTTGTTGTTTTGAAATCTTTCAAGCATCAAGCATTTGACCCCCTGCCAAACAATCCGGATTCTTCTGTTATTTCGTTAAACAGGCCAATCATAACGGAAGTAACATATAACCTGATTTCTACACATATAATTTGCGCATTCAGCTCAACGTTACATTTAGTCAGGGGAACCGTCGACGAAAGTTTATTTGAGAAGATCGAAAAGCTTCTTAGAATGAGAAATAAATTGATTTTAGACAAATCGATAACCTTGAAATTGGAGGCGATTTTTCAAACGGACTATGCGGAAATTAGTTCGAAGATAATGACCGAAACTGAGGTTGAAAAAAATATGAAAGCGAGCGAGGAATCACGATTTCTCTTTTTTATCCGGCACACCCTCCTAGATTTCATCGCTATGTATGAATATATGTCGCCTAAAGTGTTAGCTCGAGATATGTCAGAAAGGTCGTATATTGTAGAACGCCTTTCACCCATACTTCGATCTTTTAGGAATGCATTTCCTGATATTAGATACGAGTGGATTGAGAAGGATGTCAAATCCATAAGGGATGCGAGCAATATGTTCGCAATTAACATAAGGACTCGGAAAACTGATGTGTTAGTTCTGAGACTATCAGACGCAACTGAAATTCTACACGTTGAAGTATCTGGACCACCTTACAAACCGGAAAAGAAGCATACAGTTGGAGACGCAAAAAAATTACTCATGATGGCTGTTTGTAATTTATGCAGAATGTTGGCGAACAATTTCGATTGTTCAATTGAAATTGCCAAGAAAGTCAGATCGTATTGTATACAAGCAATTGGGGATAAATTGACATTATTTGCCGTATCACTTGTTGACAAGAAAAAATATTTGGCCATCGAATTAGCTTCGTGCATAATTCCCTTTTCGCTTAAAACCATCGGATGTTACACAAAAATCTTTATTTTTTTAAGATCATAAGGAACGAGTTTATAGAACAAGAAAAGATTCTAGAAAAAATTTGTTCTTTTGTGCCCTCGGTCGATGATACCAGTGACCTACGAGAGTGGGTGCATTTACCGGATGATGATCTAATACCCGTAAAGGAAGAGGAAATGGATGAACTCTTTTTAAATGACACTCAATAAAAATTTCATAAATTTCATTCTAGAATATTAATTTTATTATACAATAGCATTATTATTATAATAGGTTACAGAATTAATTTGTAACAATGGGACAATATTATTGTTTTTTGATTTTTTAATGAGGGAAACGAATTATGAATATAGTAAATGGTAGGTAATGATGTTAAATATATTGTAAAAATCTTATTTTCTTCGTGTATTGCGAGTCATAATTGATCCCGACACATGAAACCACATTTTTAGTCTCATGATTCCATGTTGCATTATCTATGATAATAAATAATATTTGAATAATTCGCATTTGTATAAAAGTTATCGTTAAAACATGCAATCCGAACTAGATTTACTCAAACAAGAGAATGCCAGATTTATGACTAGAATCGCGAAACTGGAACAAACTGAAAGAAAAAGATGAGCTTATGGCTAGAATTGTGGAATTGGAGCAGACTGCAAAGTTAAGTCAAACGGAAAATGTCGAGCTCAAGGCTGAAATTGTTGAATTGAGACGAGCTGTTAAGAATATTGAAAAGCAAAATCGAACAGTTACCAATGATTTAAAATCTTCGGAATATTCCACTCCATTACCTAACAAGAGTTGCTCAAATGGTGAAAATGCGCAGATTAAAAATTCTTCAACTCACCACGAAGCGGATCAATCCATGACTAGCACTGACTTAGTAACTTAAGACACTTCAGAACAGGTAGTTAACACAATTTCCGATGCATCTAACCTTAATGAAACTTGCTCCGGAAAATCTAAATCATTAGAAGATAAAGAAATTGATGTCTTTTTAGATTCGGAAAATAAGAAAAGGGTTAGTAATGAGATAAGGCAGAGGAATATGGAAAAAAAGCTATTACATAGTAATGAAGCTTCCGCTTCTCATGATCAGGACCTATCTTCAGTTAATCAGGATGCTTCAACGGGATCTGAAAAGACAATAACATCCTTATCATTATGTGATACAAAAACCGTGACAAAATGTCACAATTCTGATACTACCTCCAAAATACTTGAATCAGACAATCAAATCGTAGAAGGGTTAATACAAGAGATGACCTATGATCAAGCAGAAAATATTGTTTCTTCCGAAATCAATCCTTTATATTCAAATAATGATGAGGTTATGGCTCCGGGTTCTGTGCAAAGTTTATCTGACTTATTTGATAAAGCAATTAAATCGGGCCAAAAACAAATTTTATATTGGTATTCTTATTCTCTAGAATTCGAAAACAAGGTTAAAAGCCTTACAGCAGATGGCCAGATTAAAGATAAAACAGCAATATCAAAAATATATTAGGAAATGAAACCTTTTCTACCTAATGTTACAGATGCAAATTTGCGTAAGAAAACCGAAAGAGCGAGAAAAATTCTTAAGCTATTTGGTGATAGAGGAGTAAGCATATAAGCTTAGTAGAAATCTGGCATTCAGCTTTAAATTTTGTGGAGCAAAATACTAATGAAGAGAATCCTGTTGTGATATGAATTTTTAGTAGAATATTAGTTAATTATATTATTGATTGCTTTATATTACAATATGATTGGATGAATAATTCTTATATCTTATTGGATATTAGCTTTAGAGAATATTATTTATAGATATTTTTAGAAGATTTCACAAATATGATGATCATGGCAAAATTATCATAACAAAGTTAGTAAAACTATCATAGCAAAACTAATAATGCTATCATAACAAAACCAACATTATGATACTAGCAAAAATAATATTTAGATCATAGCAAAACTAGCATAAGTATCATAACAAAAGTATTATTTATATAACCTCTAAAATATATAAAAGTGATATATCTTAGCTAGTAAATTTAGACAGACAGACAGTTAGTTAATAGATAGTTAAGTAGTCAGATAATTAGTTATTTAGTTTAGTTTGAGTTTTATGAGTTTAGTTTTCAATTCACATTTTAGTAAATTATAATTTTAAGAGAATTCTAAGGAATCTCTCTTGTAGAATAGATCTTGATTAAGATCTATTATTTTGTTTTATTAATAAACTGAATATTACTTCTGTTTTGAAATTATATTTTGAAATTAAATCACATTCTAGTTAGTCATAATAAGAATACTATCATTATTTATCTTTAAGATAAATAATAGTATTTATACTCTTATTAATAAATCTTTTAAAAACTTTTTCAAATATTATTATAAGCACGTGATCATTTTTGTTATGTATTTTTGTAATATTAGGTTAAATACTCATTTTTATCTCAGAACTTGTATTAAAAAGATAATAATATATATTTATAATTATAAAATAAAAATTAAGTAATAAATTATAAATTACAAATAAAATTAAAAAATAAGATATATATAATAATTAAAAAATAATATAAATAATAAAATTAAAAATAAATAATAAATAATAAAATAAGATAAATATTATATAAAAAAAAGATAATAAAGAAAAATAAATAAAATTTATTTTTAAACTATTTCTAAAATATAACTAAATTATTAATAAACTATTTATGAATTATAGTTGATATTAAGCAAATTATATATTTATAATTCTAAATTATTTTGAAATATAGCTAAATTATAGTTAAAATATAATTGAAATTATTATTGATATATTAATTAAATCTTTTTAAATATATAATTTCTAAAAATTAATTGATTAATTAAAAATTCAAAGTTTGAAAAGTTATAAAATTTATATTATTATAATAATATTATTCTTAAATTTCTCTTTCAATTTTTGATTAGTATAATCTCTTAGAGATTTTACTATATTTTTTATTTTATTTTTATTAAATTCAAGTTCTAAATAATTTGAAGAAGAAAAAATATTTTTTTATTATATTATTATTTATTTTTAAATTCATTTTTAAATAATAAATTTTACTTTTTAATTTCTTTATTCTAATTTTAAAAAAAATTATAAAATAACTAAATAGTATTAAAATTCTTTAATAAAACTTTTTACATACTTTTATTTATTTTAATTTTAAGAAAGATGATATTAAAATTCTTCTAAAATAAAACTTGTTATATTAAAGATATTATATTTTTTAGTAATTTAATTATAAATTTTAGTAATTTTAGTATAAAACTTTTATTTATAAGTAATTTAGTATTTAAGCTTAATATTTATATTTGTAATAATTTTGATTGGGTTATCTTTCTTTAGATCTCTTTTAGTTTAGATCTTTATTTTATACTATTTATATAATAGATTAGCTTTCTATTATATTTCTAAGAAGATCAATTTCACTCTGAATATACAGATAATCATTATATATTTAATACATCTAGATTTAGCATATTATTATTCAAATAATCATCATGTGTATCACAATTATTAATTTAAATTATTAATATTTTTAATTAAGTATTTCTTTATAATTTTATTTATTCTTCTTGTTATTTATTTATATTATTATTTATT